CAATCAATCAATCAATCAATAAAAAGAAAAAAAAACCATCGATCAATCAATCAATCAATCAATCATCAATCAATCAATCAATCAATCAATCAATCAATCAATCAATCAATCAATCAACCAATCAATCAATCAATCAATCAATCATTAAAAAACACAATCAATAAATGAATATTTATTTTTTTCCTATTTTTTAATATGTTTTTGCTTCCTATCAAAAACAACCCCCCCAATTTTTTTTTATTATTTTTTTTTTAATGCAGGCCGACAGCGGCCGACGTGCGCAGGCCGAGCGTGCGCGCGGATTTTGAGCGCGTGCCCCCGCCTGGGCGTGGCGCGGCCGCGCGCGGACTCGGCCGCGGGCCTGCGGCCTAGGATCCTGGCCGCAGACTCGGATCCTGCGGCCGTGGCCCAAAGGGTGCCACGTAGCATACAATCATGACAGCATACATAATTGTGAAGAGAGACGAGTAAAAGACGTGGATAGGTTGATTGAAACGTTGAGATACATATTGAAAGGAAGATAGGTTGACAAATTGATAGAATGATGGATGGATAGATAAAAAGGCACGTTTGCCTTTTGTATCAATCAGTCTATCATTCTATCTATTTGTCCACCCAACTTCATTTGTATGCGCATATCAACGTTTCAATCTACCTCTACATGTTATGTACGTCTCTGCCCTCCCTCCATCTATCTTCATTTTATGATTATCCAATCCATGAATAACATATGTGTGCATTTCCATTTGCTTGTGTATTCATCAGTGATTGTAACCACCATCATGCAAACACAAAACAAATAATATGTTCAAAACTTCCCTCCAAAATTCAAACTTCATCTCTCCTCATGTTGTTCCCAACTTCGAAAACTAACACCAATTCATAGAACGATCAGTCACCCTCTCTCAGAACACTTCCCCTACACGAGAGAGAGAAAGAGAGAGAGAGAGAGGGGGGGGGGGAGGGGGAGAGAGAGAGAGAGAGAGAGAGAGAGAGAGAGAGAGAGAGAGAGAGAGAGAGAGAGAGAGAGAGAGAGACCATGAAAATATGTTTCGTAAAATGATCGGTCACCCTCTCTCGGAACACTTCCCCTACGATCAAATCGAGGCCTGAAAACAGTCACGAAACTGACCACGTGGCAGGACCGTCGTTGCCAGTGCCACACAAGGGCTTTGGCACATTATCGACGAATCTCGAAACAAAACTTGAATGAACGACTTTGAACAATCCGGATCCCGAATGTCCCTGCACCGGTCGCTGACGCAAAATGAGTGCAGTCGCTGCCATCCCCTCCCGATCAACCATGTCCGCATCATTAACCTACCACCTGTTACACGCATCTCTGAGGTCGTCGTCGGGGACCCACATTTGCACCGCTCCGTGAAGGTACAATCTATCTTGAAGTGGAGGCTCCATGTGTGCGACATACGATGCATCCCCTTGCATTGCAGCAAGGTGTTCCTCGGCGATGGCGGAGATGAGATACTTCACAGTATCCCCAACGACGTAGCAATTGGGGATTGGCCAATTGTCAGGGACAACCTCTGACAACATCTTCACCGATAACATAACCTCCGCAAGTTTGTCGTGGACGTCGTACCCAAGGCCAGCTGCCATCCACATCGCCATAAGCCCGTTCACAAGGGCGTAGTAGTACACGCGCGTGTGGACCGTATGGACAGTTGGACCCCACTCCGTATGTCGCTCCACCATCGACCCTCGCTCGTACTGGGTCTTCTGAATGACCACCTCCTTCACATCGATCCTCTCCCAGACCACTGCTGTAACGGCCACCATCTCTCTCTCTCTCTCTCTCTCTCTCTCTCTCTCTCTCTCTCTCTCTCTCTCTCTCTCTCTCTCTCTCTTTCTAGGTCGTAGTCTCTCTCTCTCGGCGACACTCTCTCTGTCCCTCTGTCTTTGTCGCGCAGAGTGCCTGCGTGTGTCAGCAGTTGCGCAACGAGACGAGTGAAGGCAAATGCATGTGGAAGTGTTTCTGCTTGGGGACTACAGAAGGCAGCTTTTTAGGGACACGCACGCCGACCTTTGTGAGTCCCACTCGTCGCACTCGGTCCCTTCCATATTCCCCACTCACACGCTTTGTCCCAATCGACACGGTTTCTCCCGTGAACCGTGTCTCTCCCTGCAAGGATGAACGGGTACTTTCTCACTTTCTCTTTTATTTTTTTCAATTTTATTTTTCTTACTTCTTTGCTCTCGAACGGGTGCGACCGTTTGTGGCTCTTTCAATTTGTTTTTTTCTTCCATTTTATTATTTCTACTTATGTCCGAGTCATGTGCACGCCGGCAAAAAGACTTCCATTCTAGCGCATGCCCCCATCCTTGGATGGACTCAAACAGGTTGTAGCCTGTAAGGATGTGCATTGCAGCCCGCCTGTCCACCAACGCTGTCACAGGGAAGAAGGATCGGTGTCACGCCCACCCCAAGGGCAATCGGGGCCCCCTGTGCCCCGCCTCGCCATCACACCAACCAGGAGCTGAAGAACGGCGTTGCCTTTGTCATGGCACTGACTACCGCCTCGATCTGTGTAGCCATGTCACCAAGCCTCCCTGCCACCGTAGTCAGCCCTGTTGTCTGTGCTTCTGCTATCATCACTGCTGCCCTGTCCAACCCGTCCAGGTACACCTGCATTGACTCCGCGAGTGCGACACTAATCCCTGACATGGACGAAGGCGCATCCCCATCGCTCACCCTCCCACTAGATGTGCGTCTCGCTTTGGGGGTGCTGGCATAGCCTTGAGACCACTCCCGGTCCGAACCTCACCTGTCAGTTGGCCCTCTCGCCGAACTGTCCCCGTCCTTGGCATTCAGAGAGTCGGTGTGCAGCGTGTTGTCACAGGTCTCTGACGGCTAAGCCTTTTGCAAAATCCCATCCATCTTCGCCCATAACCGCCTATCAAAGTTTGCATACAACCCTTCTGCCTCCCTCTCTTCCACTGTCATCATGATGTCAAAGTATCCCGACTTTCCGGACTGACCGACCTTGTCTGCGAGCAGCTTCAATTTCTGCCCTAGCGCAAACCACTTCTTCCTGCAGTCTTTCGTAGATCGATTCCAGCCCTCGTCCCTCATCCGACGGGCGATCCATTCCCGTCTCTCGCCATGCTTCATGTGCTTGTGCACACTAGACGCATCCGCCATAAGAGCGTCGTCTTCACGCTGGATCCTATCAAGAGCCAAGCACTCCTCCACAAACCATTGAACTTGTTTTTGCGCCGGAGGAGCTTGCACACCGGCCCGTGAGCCGCCGCCTCCTGCATTTGTGTTATGCATGACAGTGCTCCCATCCGCGCAGCCTCCGACTGGTGTTGATGTGGATGCTGCGTCAGGCGGACGCCCACGTCTGTGCGCAGTCGACCATGTGCCTTCCCCCACTCCCGTGACGGAGGCAGATGGAGATGGATGTTGGAGCACCGCTGCGGCAGGCACATCGCCACAGTTTCTCCACTGCCCGTGCGTGGGCATTGCATCCACAGCAGTTTGGGCTGCTGTTGGAGGTGGAGAACTATTGTCATCAGGAACTCGCCATTCACCACTTCCCCCCCCCCCCCCCCCCCCCCCCCCCCCCCCCCCCCCCCCCCCCCCCCCCCCCCCCCCCCCCCCCCCCCCCTCCCCAACTCCTGTCCACACCACATTCACGTCGTCGTCTTCCTCGAGCCACACTGTTGTGAATCCCCCGGAAGGCAGCGATCGAGTTGAACAACCAGTGAAATGAGAGGATGTTGTGGGGGGTTGAAGCAACCCCATCATCTGCTGTCCCCCGTAAGCAGTGGCCATCACTTACTGCTGGAAAGGCGGCTGGCTCCCGCACTGCATTTGGTGCAGGCCTGGTGGTCCTGTGATGGATCGTTTCGCCACTGCGGCAGCGACCCGACTTGGGAAGGAAACTACGGGGGAACTCTGTACCTGTCGCATCCTGGCTCAACATGGACAGGTGTGCTGATGGAGGAGTGCATTGGAAAGTTGCAAACCCTGCAAATTGGCCGACCGGTTATAGTGCTTTATCTCGCCATACTCTTCTTGAAAGGTCGCCTCCTGCGACCAATGTCGGCCCTCCATGTCACGTTGTCAGCCAGCCCCCGACGCTTCCCCTCTCGTCTGCCTGGCTGGGAAAATTTTTCCGCCCAGGGACAGGTCGCGTCGTCCTGAGCGAGCTTTCTCCTTCTCAACTGGGTTCCCCCGGTTCGCTGGTCCCCTCGAACTCCCCCTCTTCCTCTCCGACGTTTGCGAAGCAAGCGCCCCTGCGAGCACTCCCCAAGATTCTCAGAGGGCCCGAGACTCCGGAGCGACCGAGGTCCCGGCTATCACCTAGCCCGCCGTTCTTTTGCAGAGTCAATGCAGACTGATGCACGCGTGAGTAGGGCCGCGCCGAGGCCTTTCTAACTCTTCCCTAACGGTAGCAGGGCGGTGACTTGCCAGGGGTACGAGCGACACTTACACGGGGTAGATCAGATCCACTGGAACTCCTATGCGCCCAGCTCGAGCGAGAGCCCGAAGCCGGAAAGAGGAGGGACGCGAGTTCGCAAAATCGAACGCTCAGTAATGCGGATTTCGAACCTGGAAGGACAAGTGCATGCCTTGCCCGAGTTCCGAGGCGAGCCCGTGAGCTCACCCGAGCCCAGAGGCAGTACCTCCCAGCTCGATGGTAATCCCGATCCTTTGAGAAAGAGTACATGAAGCTTACTCACTCGGTCCCGCCAGGCCTTTAGATTATCACTTGCCCGAGAAATTTTAATGCAATGTTTCGGCAAGGACTCCGACGCAAGACACACAGACCTGTCAAGCGCAAATTCACTCCCGTACCCGAACAAAATAGCAAGAGTTCCGACATGAATCACACAGCCCTGTCTTGCAAAAGCTTAAGACTTCCCCGTACCCGAACAAAAGAGCTCTGACGCAAGTGACACAGTCTCTTCAAGGTCAAAGGTGACCCCGATGCTTTAAGAGAGAGAATACCTGTTGCACATTCGCTCAGTCCCGCCAAGCCTATAGACACTCACGCACCCGAGTATAGCTAACTTACGATGTCTCGGACAAAGACAGTTCCGTATTTCAATGTAGCGTTTCGGCAAGGACTCTGACGCAAGCCACACAGACCTGTCCAGCTCAAATTCACTCCCGTACCCGAACAAAATAGCTAGAGTTCCGACATGAATCACGCAGCCCCTTCTTGCAGAAGCTTAAGACTTTCCCGTACCTGAACAAAAGAGCTCTGACGCAAGTGACACAGTCTCTTCAAGGTCAAAGGTGACCCCGAGCCCGTAAGGGCGAGTACTGGATCGCGACCGATCCCTTTGGCTAGCCCGACCCCGTGGAGAGGGCGTGGACCCGCAGGTTTCTAAGTCCCTGGCCGAAGCCGCGCGCCTCAACCGAACGAACTCCCTTTGTGGTTAACCTGTCACTTCTTCCTCCTCCCCTATCTCTCCCCCTTCCAATTTCTCTCCCTTTTTCTTCCCCCTCTCCCCCCCTTTCTCTCTCTCTTTCCCTCTCGAGCTCCGTAGCGAACTCTCTCCCTCTCTCCCCGTGTGCGTAGCGGCTTCTCTCTCTCTCTCTCTCTCTCTCTCTCTCTCTCTCTCTCTCTCTCTCTCTCTCTCTCTCTCTCTCTCTCTCTCTCGAGCTGCGTAGCGAATTCTCTCCCTCTCTCCCCGCGTGAGTAGCGGCTTCCCCCTCTCTCTCCCTCGAGCTGCGTGGCGAACTCTCTCCCTCTCTCCCTGCGTGAGTAGCGGCTTCCCCCTCTTTCTCCCTCGAGCGGTGTGGCAAACTCTCTCCCTCTCTCCCCGCGTGCGTAGCGGCTTCTCGCTCTCTCCCTGCGTAGCAAACTCTCTCCCTCTCTGCGTGCGGAGCGACTTCTCTCTCTCTCTCGAGCTGCGTAGTGAACTCTCTCACTTTCTCTCTCTACGTCCGTAGCGACCTCGCCCTCCCTTCTCTCACTTTCAAAGCCCTCACCTTCTGGGCCGAAGTCCGCTAGCGAGCGCCTCGCTGGACCGCCCGAGACGAGCGCGTCCCCCTCTTCTTGGCCACCGCCTGCTTTATCTTCTTCCTCCGTCCTTGTCACTGCTGGTGGCTGGCCGCCGAAAGCCGAGCTCGCCCCGCCGCGCGAGTCCTCTCGTGCGCAAAAAGGACTCCGTGCGCTCTGGTCGTGCGCTATCCTCCTCCCCTTCTTTTTTTTCTTCTCCCCCCCCCTATCTCTCCCTCTTTCCTCTTTTTTATAGTCTCTCGTCCTTCCCGTGTCGATCCCATCTCTCCGCCACCCAGCCAATCCTCCCGCTTCCAGCGTATTTCACTCCTTCCTTCGTACCTTCCTTGTTCTCCCGCCAACTTTTTGCTAGTTTCGTTTCTCTTGGTTATACTTTCCGTCGAGCTCCTGCACAATCCTCAAGCTCGTTCCTCTTTGCACTGCAATCCTCCCCTCTCCCTTCTTGCCCAATCACCGCACTTCCCTTGACGTTCGCAGATTCAACGTTGCTTTGGCTCTTGTTCGTCTGAACTCCAAATGCATATTCCCGCCGACAAGCCCTGTTTGTTCCCCTTCCTTTTCCCTTATGATATCCCGCCAACATTTCTCCAGTTTTTCCGTTTTTCTTGGTCACATCTCCATCGAGCTCCCGCACAAATTCTCAAGCTCGTCCCTCTTTGCACTGTGATCCTACCCTCTCCCTTCTTGCCCAATCACCACACTTCCCTTGACGTTCGCAGATTCAACGTTGCTCTGGTTCTTATCCGTCCGTACTCCTGCTGCATATTCCCGCCGACAAGCCTTGTCTGTTCCCCTTCCTTTACCTTCTGATATCCCGCCAACATTTTTCCAGTTTTTCCGTTTTTCTTGGTCACATTTCCGTCGAGCTCCCGCACAAATTCTCAAGTTCGTCCCTCTTTGCACTGCGACCCTACCCTCTCCCTTCTTGCCCAATCACCGCACTTCCCTTGACGTTCACAGATTCAATGTTGCTCTGGCTCTTGTCCGTCCGTACTCCCGCTGCATATTCCCGCGGACAAGCCTTGTCTGTTCCCCTTCCTTTTCCTTCTGATATCCCGCCAACATCTTTCCAGTTTTTACCGTTTTTCTTGGTCACATTTCCGTCGAGCTCCCGCACAAATTCTCAAGCTCGTCCCTCTTTGCACTGCGATCCTACCCTCTCCCTTCTTGCCCAATCACCGCACTTCCCTTGACGTTCGCAGATTCAA